TAAAATGTGTTAGTTTTAGTAAAGTAAAAATGTATTTTTTTAACCAGCTTCAAAAAAGGAGGATATTCTCAATTCGACTGTATTTTTTTGTTTGTATGTTACGCGATTACTCCGGCATTTGTGAACCAATTTTGATGATTCTTTAGAAAGAGGGTACCTCAGTATTGGTCCCAATTAAATTTGAAGAAAATATTTCACCTTTATAGGTAACAAATAAGGGGATGAATCCGGTTTCGCGCAATTTCCGGTTAGCGATTTTAATAAAATTTAGCAAACAGATTTAATTCCACGACCTTTTGAGGTCCATTTTTTTTTGTAAAAAATGTACAATTTGTTAAACGACTCTGTAAATAAAAATATGTAAAGTCGTCTAACAAACAAAATTTATTCCGAAATTGCAGATTTCTAAGTTTTCATTTAGTAATGCAGATATATTTAATTTGAAGCAACTTCAAACTTAACAGATCTTGCCTCTATTATTGTACTACGAAATGTCTCTAATTTAATAATCTCTTTATTTACTTGGCAACACTTGCACCAACAACTCTCGGCACCTAAATATTTCACAATAAGTAGGTAACGAATTACATCGACTAAAGTAATAAATTCATTAAGTTAACAAAATGAATGGCAATGGAAATAGACTGAATATAACAAAAAGGTTCGTAATACTATAAAGGGTTACTTTCCTCCTAACTTTTTCCGCTCAGGGTTTGAAGACATAGGTACATATATAAGGGCGACCGAGCGTGTGTAATCCATTGATAACGCTTTTACACTAATTAGCGAGCGAGTATGGGGCTTAGTGCCGTCAGTCTTTGTGCAGGATTTATGGGAGCTGGCGCTGTCACTTGCTAATCCTGCCTGCTGGAGAGCTGTGCACTGGCTCCGCACTAACTAGCTTTGTTTTAGTTCACGCTTTTGGTTCGTATACTGACATGAAACTAGATGCGAAGTATATTAGGTCCTCTTTTATACTTTTATACTTATATCGTTTGCACAAAAGTGTTAAAATATGTACAAAACCAAAGCTTACGCTATTATTTTTTTAACTCTAGCTGACTCTATGTAGCCGCCTGTATATGGTACTTACCCGTTTGTCTAGTAAATGCAGTTATAGCAGCAGTAGCGCTCCTTGTTAAGGAGTTCGTCTAGAGAAGTATAGCCACATTACCTTTTCTGCCGCTAAGCAGTAATGCTGACACAGCGAAAATGGGAGGAATTAGTACACATAACGAAATAATACAAAATACATACAAGGACTAATTTTATATACCATTGACTAAACGAGACATTAAATAAATAAACGAGTGTAATAAATTATAATAGAGATTAGGATACATAAGGAAGCATGACCCACGGATAAGTAAAGGAACACCTAAAGACTGGAGTTGCTGAAGCAGAAACGAATGGTCAAATCGGGAACAAGAGAAAATGTGTGATCTAGGTTTCCAACTTCATCGCCACATTCACGCTTTCTTATAATCTGAAGTAGCAGTAGACCTCCTTGTGAAAGAGTTCGTCCAGGGAAGTATTGCCACCTTATCTATTTCTATCGCCAAACAGTAATGCTCACATTACTGTGTTTCGCTTTTGAAGGGTAAGGGTGATGGTGAAATGACAGGCACATGGGACTTGTTAACTTATGTCTCAGGGTGTGTCAGTGACGGGCGCAGTGGCAGTGCCCTTCAGATTTTTGCGATTGAAAGCACTGACTGGAACCTTACCACTAGGTGCACAACGTGTTCGTTCCGTTGCTTGGTGTCTTAAAAAAATGAAATGACTTCAGTCATTCATATATTAGTCCTAAATTGTATTTTGAATTATAATGCAGTATATAACTCTCTTCTTGTAGGACAGGAAGCATGATGCAAAGTAATTTCGTGCGAACGGGTGGTAAGTCAATAACATAAGGATGGAGAGTTCCGGATTCATTTAGACCGGAAGGGGAACGGTGATTGTGGAAGTAATCTGAAATGAATACATATCTAATAAGATAGAAAAACGATAAGCAGGACACTTTTCTGCGGTGATCGAAATTTAAAAATTTTAACTCCACAAGAGGGTTGTTGCCAATTAGCATCCTTGTTTTTTGCGTTGCCGAGCATCGGGTAACTGGTATTGGATAGAACCATGCTAGAGGTGACAGCAATACTCCATATACAACAGGACTTGTGCTTAATAAAGACCGAAAATTTGTCCTGGTCTTAAGTACCGCCTGATCCTGAAAAGCATGTTTTTTGGCAGCAGTTTTTGTCAAGCACTCGATGTAGCGACTGTAGTTGAGGTTAGAAAACCAAGTAGCTCAAGGTAGTCACTTAGAGGCATGGACACATCTCGGTAAGTTGGAGTGAGGTGGAGGGCACTCCGTTTTGATGAGAAAAAACACGCCTGTGTTTTGGCGGCATTAAACTGCTTTCAGGCTCAGGTTCAACCGTGTGACAATCGCATCTATTTTTGCAAGAAAACGTTTTTATATATAAAATACAGCGGTGTAGATAATCTGTTATATGTTTTGCTGCTTTTGTTTTTGTAGGTAAATACTTAGGTATACTGTAATATAAGTACTATATATATAATTTAAAGGTTGTATGACAGATGTAATAAGTCTATCCCAACACACTTTTCTTAAATAAAATAAAATTAAATAAAACGATAAATTTCTTTCTTTCCGAGAGTCCGTCCTTTGTTTGCAAAAAGCGCCTGAATATAAAATAGTGGCAAAGAATACAGTAGTTGTGTAACTACCATAAATTTTATTCCATCCTTTTTAATTTCTTATGCAAAAATGTTATACTCACTGATATTTTAGGCAATACCAATAGTAACTCTGCATTATACTTTATACATTGTGTAACCTCTAGATTTAAGAATCGTATAAACTGAAGGAATAAGGGAGAAAGCCAAGTGTGATGTACTGGGATAACATTAGGGTGTTAGTTGTGACGCAGCAAGGTGGCTCGCATCGGTGCACCTTGAAGTGGCGTGTGACGACCTGGGAGTCTACGTCGCGTCGTGTTTGTGAAGAACTTCACCAAGCTCGCGCCGTCGTTGACATGCGTCATCGACTTGAGTTCGCGGGGAAGAGTAAATCCATGACTTAACCTGCTATTTTATTCGCAGAAATACTGAGTATACGCTCTTCTCTGAGCACCTAATTAATTACTCCCATAGTAGGTATATTATTATTGTTTTCAACCTACTACCTACTTGTAACTTCATAGAAACGTAGCAGGGCGGCTTGTGTGTGTGGACGCCCGCCACACGCCGTGTACGGACGAACACATTCGCATAATAATGAAAGGCGCGAGAGACGACCAGCGCTATGCAACGCGAATGCATCACGAGATTATGCGAATGTGTGCGTCCGTACACGGTGCGCGGCGGGCGGCGGGCGCGGACACATATAAGCCAGGCTGCTATGTTTGTATGGTGTTACCATACTTGTCTTATATATGTTTCGCCCATATTTGTTAATTCGTTGTTAAAACCATGTCCAGTATTTTTCAGGAAGTTTCTATGCATGATGGTAGTTATAGAATTTTTGGAAAAATCTAATAAGAGAATTTAAATTTCCTACAAAAATTGATGAAACAGTTCATGTAAACGATTATCAGTGGTTACAAGTATCTTACCACGTTATGGTTCATTCTTCTCCCAATATTTTAGGCCTGTTTCACTCACCGTTGAGTGGCGTAGTAAAATTGTTTGTCCTTCGGGACAGGCTACGTGTCTAATTGGCCATATTGCAGGTTGTAATTTTTTGAAATTTTTAGGGAAAAATCATTGTACCTTTACGGTGGCCATTTTGAATATCCGACAGCTATATTAGGACAGACGTACCAGCATTATCAACTGTTATAAGTAAAATTGTAACAAAAATTTTCTTAAATCATAAATGAAAGTCGTGATTTTAATAACGTCCCGTAACTTCATAATAAACTTATTATGTCGGTATTTATTATTAGATATGCGTTGTTTACAGCATTATGTACAATGGCTGTTATTATAGGGTTTAACGGAGTTTACGTCCGTGCGGACCAATGATATTGTGTTCAACGCCCGGATTAAACAAATATGATATTATGTGGAATATGCGAAGTTATGCAAGTTTAAAAATATATTGTATTGTGGTAGCTTAACTACTAGCAGAGGCCGTAGGTTCGAATCGGAATTCGGTTTCTCGGAATTTATGTTCGGTAAAGGAAAACATCGCAATGAATTATTCAAATTTAAATCTCTCGTTTCGCTTTAGAGATAGCACCATAGCTGGAAATGTCAAATTTTACTCCCTAACGACACAATTGACTATTTAAACGTTTTATTTTGATCACCTCTGTGGCCCGGTTTACAATGAAGGCGCTGGATGCGGAGGTCCCGGGTTTGATTCCCAGTAGGAGCAATCTGGGAAATGAACTTTTCTAAATTGGTTCTGGACTAGGTGTTCTGGAAAGTGCTCCAGAATTCCGTTGATTTGGTATTTATAAAACAGGGAAATTCCTAGTTTGATACCAGGCAATAGATGTAGTTGTCTGGCACTCTGGCACATATATTTTTTACTTATGTAAAAAGTATATGTGCCAGGGTATAGAAGATACTTTCGTTCTACGAATTTTAGTAATTCGTAGAGCAAATGTATTTTAAATGACCGATTCTAATTACGAAATATAATTCAAATTTCTGTACTTTACTGTGTATTTATATAATTATTTGTATAAAACCATTATTGTGTAGTGGATTATACTCTAGTATCATTACACACTAGTATTTAAGTCTATACATGTTTCACCTTTTGAATTACTATACTATTTTATGTCGTGGTATATACCAAGCATTGTTGCAGAATAATATATTTGAATTCTATTAATCTACGATTACTTATATAACAAACTTCCCTGTATTATTTACAAAATATTCAACAAAGTGTTTATTTACAACAGTGACATAAATATAACAAAATCGTAAAAAATCTTAGTTAATTACTTATGCCCATTAATTTTTTAATGTCCTTTTTTGAAGCCCCAATGTTTGTGGTCCTCGTGGCCTCCTTTGTGACCGTGGCCCGCGTGGTGGTGGTGGTGCTCATGATGGCCACCCTCGTCGTGGTGTCCCTTGTGTTCGTGGTGATGGCCGCCCTTCTCGTGGTGACCCTTCTTACCATGGTGGTGCTCGTGATGGCCATGTCCCTTGTGGCCCTTGTGGAAATGACCGCCCTTCTTGTGTCCATGCTCTTCATGGTGTCCACCGTGTCCTTCATGGTATCCGGATTCGCCGTGTTTGTCATGGAAGTGTTTGTCCTTCTTGAATTCGTCTACTTTGTGAACACCGTGATGGCCTTTGGTGGAATGACCCTTGTGGTAGTGTCCCTTCTCTTCGAAGCTATGTCCCTTTTCACCTTTTTCACCGTGATGGTGCTCGTGGTGGTGTCCATCATCATGATGGTGATGTTTTTTATGTCCACCATGTTCATCGTGATGGCCCTTGTGTCCTTCGTGATGGTGGTGGCCCTTCTTGCCGTGCTCGTGATGGTGATGTCCCTTGTAGCCCTTATGGCCCTTGCTGCCGTGGTCATTGTGGTGATGACCGTGGTGCTCGTGGCCACCACCCTTTTCGTGGTGGTGGTGCGACGCGGCGGTTTCAAGGTCGGCGTCGCGTTTTTCGCGTAGGTTGCGGGTGCTAGCGAGCGCCGCCAGCGCCACCAGACAGCTCAAAACGAGAGCCACCTTCATGACTGTACTGTTGTCGTTACAGTGGATAAACTAGTGCAATGGCTCGTTGTCGTCGTTATATAGACATTGCGACTCTGGTTTTTGCACCACGATATTGGGTAACTATTGCACTCCGTCCCGCTGCTTGCACTCTACTGTCAAGGCCGAACTTCCTATGCAAAGCACTCTCTGGATCAGGTGAGCATTGTCTCGGAACACTTTGTTAAATACTCAGTGTGTTCAATGCGAATAAAATTAAATCGTCAATACTTTCAGGTGCAAGTGGAAGGACTGGCTGCTTAATCAACGTCAATCAAAGAAGACATCACGTTGTTGGTCGAAGGTGATGTACGCCCTGTTACGTTATTACAAACAATAAAAGTAAAATTATAATTAGTATAAAAATGTACTAACTGTATGTTCTTCTAAATTCCATTATCTGCTTGTTGTATTCTATATACACAGTATTCTTAAGCTGTTAAGTGCAGAATGGTCGGTGGTCGGTACGTGTGTTATTTTAAATATTAATGTTTGTTATTTCTGTAGTAAACGTACTTAATGAGTCAGGTACTACTCTCCTATTTAGTAGCTTTAGAGCTTCTTGTGAAAGAGTTCATCCACGGTAGTACTACCACCTTACCTATTTCTGCCGCCAAGCAGTAATGTCAGCATTACTATGTTCCGGTTTTTAAGGGTAAGGGTGCTGGTAAAATTATAAGTACATGGGACTTGTCAATTTATGTCTCAGGTTGACGTGCGCAATGGCGATACCTCAGATCGACTCATCCGTAGAACAAAGATCTAAGTGTAAGACTGCTTGTTCTCAGGACATAGTACATTTCGTTCGTTCTTCTTCGCTGTGGATGTCATATCGACCGTTGTTCGATTTTATATTTCCAAAATGAAATAAGATATATAAATTCTCAAAGTACCTCACATAGGCCTTAGTTTGAATAACGAAATTATTCTCGTAACGTACGTATACTCTTTTCGCTACATAATCACATAGGGCTCTGTTCTTCGGATAAGTCGAGATAATAATAATAATAATAACAACGCACACACTCATCATTGCCCCGCAGTAGAGAAACCCTGTGTCGCGAGTGCCATGGACACACACACACACACACACACATAGACAACCACAAATTACACCCAAACTCACAAGAGAAATAAATGTAGGCCATACAAAAATATTTCTCCCGGCCCGGGAATCGAACCGGGGGCCTCAGCCACAGAGGCAGTTTTGTGATTTAAAGCTCTGAATTTCATTACAACTATTATGGACAGGCGTGTCGCTTACCACCAAGCTCACGACTTGCTCGTCTCATAATTTGGTATCATAAAAAAAATATACTTGAAAGTAATTTCTGTAGTCCAATATTCATGTTCATCTCCCTTACGGATCAAGTGTGACTAATAACACAATTTGTAATACGTCTCATGGCCGGTGACATTGACGATGTCGTATACCAGTCTTGTTGCAGGACTTTTGTGGACACATAATTTATTAGGCCTGCATTGTAACGTGGAATCTTGGGGAATTTCCTCTAAAAGGAAAATTTTCTTAGACGTCGTATTGTTCCCTTAGCGGGTTTCACTTTCGTTGGCATTTTTGGTTTGAATTACTACATGCATTATCAGGTGCCTTTAATGGCTTTCTCTAAATGTAAACAAAAACATAAAAATAACTCTCCCTGGTTACTGTTTCACCACATATAATTTATGGATAAAGTTTACGGAATTTTTTCAAACAACCTAAAAATGATTTTTACCTACTTGTGTACCTTTTACCTGTAATAAATTTACTGTTGCTGTACGTACGCATATTTACGTAGTGAAGTACGAATCCTTTAGTACATTCTTATTAACCGATTTCAAAAATAGGAGAAGGTTCTCAATTTAACAATACAATACAAAAATTATTTATTGTACACCAAAAAAAAGGAAACAAATACAATACAAATACGTCTGACACGGTAAGCTAGAACACGTCGGTTCGAATACGGCCGGATCGAAGGAATTTTTTCTGAGTGTTCGATCTTTGTATTAATAATTAAATACAATACAATTAAATTGAAATAAGCGGTAATATAATGGGCGGTCTTATTAAGCGATTTCTGCCAGACAACCTTTGGATGGAAGTAGTTCTATAAGTCACAGGAAAAAGACGGCGGTGTACGGAGAATTCCTAATCAATAGATAGAAAAACGATAAATAAACACAAATATACATATATTTGTGTGGGTATGGAATCTAAGGGTCGTATTCTAGAACTCTACTCAATGCTCAAGTCAGGATTTGAGTATGGTTTAAAGCACTCGAAATCATACTCAAGTCCCAGCCATTAGGGTCTTATTTCCAGTGCTTGTGTTTCCAGTGCAATCCTGACTTGAGTAGAGTTCTGGAATACGACCCTAAGAGTGATGCGTGAAAGGGAACGGAGCGTGATGAAAAAGGATAGGAGGAAAAAGAGAGAGAGGAGAGATAGACGACGGCGAGGAAAGGAAGACGTGGGCGAAAAGATTGAAAATTGTCTTTAAAATTAATGAAAGACGAGTTATTGTAAATCAAGAGTGCAATTTATTTAGAAGCGTCAAAATCACCTATCCCATATTTATAAATAATAAAACCAATACATATAATGAATATCAAAATCTACTATATATTCCTACACCTATAAATATAAAATTATTAATTATTAATTAATTGCCATCAGAATAGGTGATTCAATTAATTTCAATTTTTTTTTCATTTTCTATTCTTTCTACATTACATTTCGTGTTATATGGTATGGCGGTTGATCACGACATCACGACCCATTGTTTCTAATTCAGTAAATGTTTGCCACTTCGTTATTATAGTGCTTCTTTGAAATAATTATAAGTATAATAATAGAATAAGTATTTTTATTAATAAATTATTATAAGTACCAAATTAATTATAATTATAAACACCTTACAATTCAAAAAGTCGTGGTAGCTTAATGGTTTAAATTACCGCCTTTCAAGCGTAGGGTCGTGGGTACACCTATAAATATAAAATTTCTAAAACATAATTATAAAACGTAGTGTTCTTCTACCATATTTGAGCTGAGCAAGTCCCGATTGCACTCTCATGACGGTGAATTAGGTACCTACTGCATTATCAATTGTTTAAATTATTATTATTTTTTTAAATTATTTTATCATTATTATTATTGTATCATTATTTATTTAAGACTCTCGCTTCTCCCGAGGCCTAAAAGATTAATTTTGAATTTTAAATGGGAGAGGCGTTATTTATTTATTATTAGTGTTCCTCTGTTGTATTGTCTATATGCGTGTCTGTGCTTGTGTGTTTTCTTTCTTTCGTTTTCTTCCTACATTTCAACGTTACACGTTTACTCCGACATTTATGCACCGATTTCGATGATTCTTTTTTATTAGAAAGGTGGTACCTCCGTAGCAGTCCCATTAAATTTAAAGGAAATACTTTAAGGGTGGCAAATTAGGGAATGAATGCGGTTTATTGGATTTCACTTTTAGTTAACTGATTTCAACAATAAAACTTGATAAATAGATTTAATGGCTACTGCTAAGTAGAGCTCCTTGTGAAAGAGTTCATCCAGGGAAGTACTGCCACCTTACCTATTTCTGCCGCCAAGCAATAATGTGAGCATTACTACGTTCCGGTTAGGAAGGGCAATGGTGCTGTTGAAATTACAGGCACATGAAACTTGTATACTTATTTCTCAGGGTTCAGGCGCAGTGGCAGTGCCCCTAAGATATTTACAATTTAAAGCTCTGAGTGGCACTGCAACCGTTATGGACAGGTGTGTCGCTTACCACCAGGCGCTCGACTTGTTCGTCTCGTCACTTGATATTATAAGAAAAAAATATAATTCCACCAACTTTTCATGTCGGTTTTTGCTTATAAAAAAGTTACCAGATTATTGTTTGCGCTTTATAAATATTAGGATATAATCTTAAAATTTTCGTAACAAATAGATCACAATTTTTTATAGCCCCATAAATTGATTGGAAACTACTTTGGCGCATTTCTGATGAGGTAAAGCTAGAAGCACTCTTGATGAAGGGGAGAGATAAAAAAGAAAAGGGAACTTTTTGTATTGTTTTCAACAATCTTCACGCCTAATTGAAACACGAGTTGAAAGGAAACTGCGGTGTTTTAGAATTATACAGTTCACAATAAACTGAAGATATGGTTAACTTACAAAATTTTAAAATGAACTAATTTTAAAAGTAATTATGAAGAAAAATAAGAGTTTTCTTGCAAAGAATATTTTATCGCGTTCTTAGGATTTCGCGATTGTTACACATAGGAAATAAAGTTATTTTTCAGGATTTAAATCACGTATATCTTTTTTTCAAACAAACCGACGTTTCGGGCTCTTAACAAATTCAAATTCAAAATAATCTTTGTTTCATAGGTAAGCATTATTACACTTGAAATCGTCACAATGGTTAAACTCTACCGCTCATTCGTAAGGCAGATTCCCCTGAGAAGAATGAGCAAGAAACTCTAGGGGTTGCTCTATATAAATAACATTTGTATACATTCAACATTTACAATATATATTTCTTTTATTTGAAACATTAGAGATCGAGACTACCTCCATGAGCTAAATGGGTTACTACCACAGATTTTTGTCATCCAAGTACGCACAAGTTGTATAATAACGTTTAGTATAAAGTTTTTGTTTCACTATAATGTTAAACCTCGTGAAAGGCAAATTTTGTATATCAACCGGAACCTTGTTATAGAAGCTTGTGTTTTTTAACTTTGTGAAGACGACTATCAAGAAAAGCTAGTTTATTTTTATTCCTCGTATTAATGTTATGTCTGTCACTATTTTTCATTAAGAAATTACTATTTCTTTTAACATAAATTACATTTTCATAAATGTACAGGTCCCGTGGTCACGGTTGACTGTTGACGGCTGTTGAAAAATATTTTACTTTTCAGAAATCGTAAGTGAAGAAATTGTGGTTATAATTATTAATACAAAGATCGAACAG